TAAGACTTTTTTTATGACTAAATTTGGTAATGGGAGAGTAAAAATATTTTTAAAACGTACACTGTTCAAACTAGGCTGCTTAGCGTTTGGGATGTGGCTTTTAATGATGAGACCTTTTTTGTAATCAGGCTCTCAAAAAGTATATAACAATTTGGATATAGATTTATCGGCCAACATATCGGTTATCGGCTTTCAAAAATAAAGAATAATCGGTTATCGGTCAAAATTTTCATATCGGTGCATCCCTAATATATATATATATAGTCAAGTGAAAAAGAAATAACACCCTGTTGAATTCCATGGTTTTCCATATCAGAACATAAAAAAAATCATCTGGTCCTTAACCTCAGATGAATAAAAACATGACGTATCACACCGGATCACTATTTATTTAGCAAAAATAAACCCAACATGGAAAAGCGTTCCAGCCGTTCTGTTGTAGTGTCTTTCATTGTATGAACAAAAAATACTGAGGTGTTTCTCAAATGATCTTCTTTTATGTTCTATAGTTCATGTTAGGCCGTTATAGCCTAAACGTTTATGTGTATAAAATGTTATGTTTAATCAAATTAAATATTTCTAAAGCTACTTTTTGTAATGTCTACTTCATGCTTTTCTTATTTAACACAATATTGGCTTTAAAGGGGACATCGGATGCCCATTTTCCATAAGTTGGTACGCTTCTTTAGGGTCTTCATGAAATGTCTAACAAATTCCTCAATGGTCATGTAAAACAACACTCTTTCTACCTTGTCAAAAACAGCTCTGTTCACAGCGACCCATTCCGGTGCATGTGTCGTTAAATGATAATGAGCAACTGCTCACCCCATCCCTCTCTTCCATGGGGCGTGTTGACATATGGCTCGGAGGTGGTTTTATTCAAATAGCTAACTATCTACATAGAAACTGGATGCAAATTGAAACTGCTCGATTTTTCTTAATATTTTAAAAAGCGCATTTTAAATTGCAAATCGTAAAAAACACTCTGATGTGTCAAGCCATCAGAACCGAACCAAACCAAAAGCCATGGTTAAAAAAAACAAAAACCACGATATGCATTTATCTGTGGGTTTACTGTATTGTTGCATCCCTAGTAGCTACTGTAGCTCCAACAGTAGAGTTTGGGACTAGCAATGCCAAGGTTAATGATTTGATTCCCAGGGAATGCACGAATTAAAAAAAATCTAAAGCTAAATGCAATGCTAGTCATATACCAAATGCATAAATGCTTAAATGTAATGAAGAGAGGGAGACAGAGCTGTTAAAAGACATACCTTGAGGCTTGACTCGTAGTCTGTGTTGACTTTAAACATCAGGCCAAGCCGCAGATGGATCTCCTTGGTTCTTGAGAAACTAGGGTCAATGTAAAGCACCTCCTGAAACGCCTTAATCGCCCTGTGGAAGACAAGAAACAGCAAAAGAAATCTCAAGGAAGGGACAAACTAATTTATGTATACAATGCGACTAATAATTAATGATTAACTTATAATTAACAATCAAAAAAATATCTGAAATTAAAATGTGAAGTATGATTTGAAGCAACAAATAGCAAAACTGCCTGGAGCATGAGCTTCAAAAGGAAAAGCTATCAGCAGAAGCATCATTGCAATGGAAATACTAGTGAAACACTCAAGCTTCATGGTCGACCCTGTTGTAAGCCATCTACCTCTATTACATATGTATATATGACATTCAGATTTATAAAAGACAGAGTAACACACACACATTGAATATTACACACAATCTCCACCTCTGACAGAGATTGCAACACGTGGTCGGCTCACAGCAGTGGGTTTTGCTTGCTTATACAATGTTCACTCAGAAAAACAGAGGGTGTTTTTGCAGAGCAACGGCCCACTGAACTCAATGGCCCCAATCCCCCTCCTATTCCCTTCCCTCCAAACAGTCTTTTCTGCTCTCTCTGCAGAGCACTGCAGTGTGCGAGAGCTCTGCATAACAGAACGCAAAGATTTATCATAATTTTTTAATTCCCTGTAAATCACATAACTCTCACAAGAGCCAAAGCTATATGAGTTCATTAGATCAATTAGCATGATGACTGGCATAATAATTCAATTCATTTTAATTCAACATTTATTATGAGTTTTGCGGGCTGGTCGCGAATTTCCACAGATTTATCAATATTTCTTGTTTCTTTTCTCAAATACTCACCATCTCATCTTTTAATTTCGAAGAGGATTATAAATGTTTACTTTCTTGTCATTCACTTTTAACCCCTGTTTCTACATCTCTTACTGTGGTAAAAAAAGAAAAAAAAAGAAAAAAAAGCTAATAACCATATACATTTTTACTTGCCAAAACGACAGATAGTATTGTTAGCCTAACCCTACTTATTTTATAGAAATATCGTATCTCATGGGTTTCAGTCTTTATCTCTCGTCACATTCAATTTTAACACAGTTTGTGCTTGTTAGACAAAATAGGGCACGTCAAGTTTATTTGTGAGTCTTGGGGAACATGAAAGATATTGTTACCACAAATTAAGAATTCGTTCTCACGACTTATTACATAATTTTAGTTGAATCATAGGCTCACTAGGGAACAAATTAATGAAATGGATCACACTGATTTTTATCGATGACTGCAGTGTTACTATTTTAATTATATGCATATAATTCATGACCGTTTTTAAAAACATTTTAATTGAGTAGGCTAAATATCTTTTGTTATCCTCACAGTGCGTCAGTTATGCAGTAATGATTGCGGGGCAAATTAATTGTCATTTTAATTTAATAATAAAAGCAACTTACTAATAATAGGCCTAATAAAAATAAGAATGTAACAGGCCTACATTAATGCCAGATCCTCTTAATATTGCCAATATCTCTGGCTATCGTTGATACAAGATTGTCATCTTTCGAGGCACCCCAGCAAGAGGAGGTTATCACAGGGCAGACAGCACGTTGCCTGTTACGCCGTTTGGGCTGTCTTGTTGAGTGCAGTGGCACTGAGAACATTATATTTCACACTTTAAGCTCTTTTATTTTCCAAATATAATAGGATTGATTAGTCCAACATATCGTTCAGTTTGTAATGCGTACCGAAACACAAGCCTTGTACCGAATGGTTCAATAGGTTACACCCCTAATATATAATAATAGTAATAATTCATTACAGTTATATAGTGCTTTTCTAGGCACTCAAAGCGCTTTACATTGTCAGGGGGTATCTCCTCATCCACCACCAGTGTGCAGCATCCACCTGGATGATGCGACGGCAGCCTTAGTGCGCCAGAACGCCCACCACACACCAGCTTATTGGTGGAGAGGAGACAGAGTGATGAAGCGAATTAGCAGATATGGGGATTGTTAGGAGGCCATGATGATCAGAGGCCAATGGGCAAATTTGGCCAGGATGCCGAGGTCACACCTCTACTCTTTTCGAAAGACATCCTGGAATTTTTAATGACCACAGAGAGCCAGGACCTCGGTTTAACGTATCATCCGAAGGACGGTGCTTGTTGACAGTATAGTGTAACTATACTGGGGCATTAGGACCCACACAGACCACAGTATATAGTACATATATAGATATTGTATCCATTTTTTCAGCATGACACAGGTATTCAATTACACTCTCCCCTCAGCTCAACATCCAATATAAATGTCTCGCTCATGCTGAAAATATAATTTGCTTTTCTGACCATTTACAGGTGTCAGTTGCTTAGGAATATTGGGAAAAAACATGAAGATATGAGACAAGAGATGGACTCTGACCTGTTCCCAATATTTGATGTTCAAAGACTTTTAATGTGATCCAAACTTTAAAAGTACATTAAAATAGAAACAATACAAAGCATATTTTGTACATTGTGAATTATTTGCGCAATAGAATTCCATCACTCACAGGCCTAACGACTCGCTCGCTTCTTTGTGTCTGCTGCAAGTGTTTTGCACATTCACACGTACCCCAAAACTACGCATCTTGCTTAATCAACCATCAATTCGTTTTACTGATTAAATTATTATCGACAATTAATCAATTGTCGATTTGTTAGTAAAGTCCCAATGCTGGTTAATTTTGTTTCCAATTGCAAATATTCAGCATCAAGCATCAACATCCCACTCACTTGTTCTGCTATGACCACTTACACAACACACAAACCAAAAATCTAAGCAAGTCAGGACAACTGATTTGCTAAGAGTACCGGAAGCCAGTAAACTAAATTTCATAAGTTATATGTAGTCCAAAACCCATGACACAACCAACCCAGCACGTAACCACATAGCTAATCAAAAAACAGTTGCTTTCTCCATCTCAAAACTCCACAAATAGAAAAATGAAAGGCAAGTAAGATTACTTTAACCACAAACTTTAGGATCACAAACTATAAACAAAATCCGGCCAGATCATCTTATTATAGTATGGAAAATAATTACATATCTGCCATCTACATATGCATCTCTCTGTCTCTCAACCTCTCTGGCCTTGAAGATCACAGAATGAGTGCAATTGGCATGGGAGTGGACTAGAATGAGCGAAAGAATGAGAGAGAGACAGAGAGTGAAAATGGGAAGCATGTCATCTCAGTTTCCTGCTTGGGAATTGAAAGGCACAGCCTTTACCTCATCATTTACTAGCAAGCAAGAATCCATGACTGGGTCACATGCTCTAAAATCACTGCACACTGAAATTAATGATTTAAGTTACAGACAATAGGATTACTTGACCTACAGGACAAAAACGTGACAAAGATGTTTAGACTTTCAAGGAGTAATCGAGTCAAGGACCTGAAAGCTATATGGGACCATAAAAAAACAGAACAAATCAGAATGCTCCAGGTTGAATAATAGTTACACTACATCAACAGCATCTGTGACATTGTACATCACCATAGGAAAAAAACCATGCCTTTACACTAACTCACAAAAGAAGTCTATGGGGAAAGACAATATCCCAGAAAAAGTTCAATTATACAGTTTTAAAAGTACAAACCTTAACTTCACAAAACGTAATATCATATGCTTTAGCATGACACTATGTAACAGAATTGCAAGCCAACCTTAACCTGTGCAATGATATCAACTATATCCATTAAGTACATTTTTACATGGCGCAAACACTAATCAAAAGGACGATTTAAAAAAGGATTTCTTAAAAAAAATAAATAAATAAACATTTCACAATTAATGTAAGCGCTTTAACAAATACGAGCTTGTCATCTGTGCTTTCAACCCCAACTACCTAAAACGGCAGCATATATTTTCATACCAAATGTTGAACGATGCAGATGGTTTATTTCTAACAGCTATCAACACGTCATTCCTTTTTAATCGAATATACACATCAATGTACTTCTATATATGCCAAGTTAAAGCAAATATTCTTGCCACTTGAGCAAGCTGAAGATATCTACAGAGCATGTCTGAGGCATACCCTTACAAAACCAACATGGTATGCCTACCTTCTCAGTCCAGAATGGGCATCTGAGGGGGTGTGCTGCACTGCCCTAAGACAAGGAAAGAGGGGACCTCCAGTAGTAAATATCACAACATACCATCTGTACATTTATTTGCCAAATCAATACCAATATCCTATCAAATGTCATATGTTATACATAATATATAAAATTGACCTTAAACTACTGGGGAGGGAAAAAAAGTTAACTGATTCATGAATGAGAGAATGTGATGCTTTTCCCATAATCCTTTTAAGACCCAACCACCATTCAGTGACGGAACAAGATTACCAGCTGAACTAGGCCTGTCGCAATAATCAATATATCGATTTATCGCGCAATATATGTACATGACCTCAATCATTTTTGGTGACGCAAAATATCGCCCATTATATTTACATTATGTTTTGTACATTCCACTTGCGCCTGTGTCTTTTGCAGCTTCTCGTACATAACGTGGTGTAGTCATGAGGTGCTAGTTCAAATTTAAAAAATGCTTCTACAAAAAGTTTCATCTGCAGATACGGTCTTGTTTAGGGGTCTGTGCCTTTGTGCATACGGACATCTGACTGCTAAGTAGTGATTGTGTTTTTCAACAATAGTGTGCACCCTTAATTTACAGAGAAAAGGTCAGGGAAAAATCTGTAGATGGAAAAATCTTTGTGCATTTTTCTTTTTTTCTACAGAAAATGTTTATTTACTATTTATTCACGTTTAAGCTATCGAATATTTTGATACTTAATTTCCATGATCTAAATATTCTTAAAAATTAAAAGTTTGTTGTCATATGGAAGTGTGTAGGCCTTCTTGCATTTTTATGCTGTTACATTATGATTATATATTCAGTGGCATAAAATGGTCTTTAAAATGACAATAATATCGCTTATCGCAATTATTTCTGGGGCAATAAATCGCACAACAAAAAGTTATCGTGACAGGCCTAAGCTAAACACAATATTGGTCTTCGGCAGATCTTGAATGTTAAATGTAATCTGATGTAACCTGACTAGAGACAATATAAGTAAATCCTTATGAATCCTCAATATTTGAAAAAACCTGTGTAAACTAGTAAAGACAACTACACTGACCACAAACATGAGACATTAAAAAAAAAACTAATTTAAGAAAACTAAAAAAAAACTATATATATATATACACAGTGTTACAGTGACCAATTATCCCAAGCTCTGTGTGAACACTGAGAGACATATTGTACAGAGCCCATGTGTAATAAATATTGCGTATTTTAAACAAATCTGACCCAGTTTTATTACTTGGTTGAGACAAAACAACAAATTTTAACTCCTAGTTAAAGGGGTCATATGATGCGATTTCAAGTTTTCCTTTCTCTTTGGAGTGTTACAAGCTGATTGTGCATAGATAAGATCCCTAAGTTGCAAAGACTAAAGTCTCAAAACCAAAGAGATATTCTTTAACAAAGTTAATACATTGAACACAAATCAAATGGATGTCTTTATCGCATCTTGCAGTATTTAATCACCTAGTGCCTGAGAGTTGCATTTTTAAGCTTCTAATGAAACAAGTGAGGACTGAGAAGGTCACAAACTGTGAATGAATCAAGTGATGTCCATTATCATTGTTTATCCATATGCAATATCAAAGAACAACAGAGATTTAAAAGAGAATTTCACAATGTTTATTAAATGCATTTGCACCAAAGTATCTGTCTATTTGTCAACATTGTTGCCACTTCTCCAGCAATGTTTTCTGCTTGTGCTTTGCTGCTGTAGCCAGCACTGCCAACTAGCGTTTTGTCTGTATACTTGTAGAACGATGCAGACACAAATACAGAGTTAGGAACACAAACAATCATGCTGTAGGTTAATCATAACGGGCCCTTTGACGTGAACCAAACTCAGATCACCTCCTGAAACTAAGTTTGTGTATCATGTACAAACTGAAAGCCACTCTGAAAACAGCCCACTTACACAAACACTTGTATTTTAGTAGACTATAAACAAAAGGAGAATGAAGAGCCCCTTTACTTTGAACCACACAGTGCATGCAGACCATATATTTAATTGCCAACATTTTGTGGTTTAATCACATCTTGCAACAACAATTTTAATTCAATTAATTGCTCAGCCATACTTAACACAAACCAAACAAGAGATACTGTCTCCAAAATAACACTTCTGTAATTCATTGACAGAAAATAGACAAAAAAATAATGCACATACTTTCTGCAGACTTTAGCAACAAAAAAAAATTATAGACTGAATGTAAAAAATGAAATAATTTTTAAAAAGACAAACAAGGAGGATAACAAAATACAGAATTTCTAATTAGTCTGTAAGCTGAGAAAGCATCAACATCACACTTCAGGTCATGAAAAATGCTATTAGGGATGCTATTTCAACAATGTTATGTTACAGATTTAAAAAAAAAAGAAAAGAAAAAGAAACCAGATGGAATGCATGAGAAAACAAATGCATTACAGAACACATAGTAAGTGTACTTACCAGTGAAAAGCATTGTAATGGAAGTAAACCAAACCAAGGCCATATAAAAAGGCAGCATTCTGGAAAAAAGAGAAGATGAGAATTAGAAACATTATGAGAAGAAACTATTCATCAATTCATCATAGTTGAATTAAACAGCAAATTGACTTTCTAATAAAGGATGGCACCGTAAGAACGAGTAGGGCTGGTTTACTCTCACAGCAGGTCTGACACATCTGTGCTCAGCAGGGGACAGAAACGTCTGTGGCTAATGAGCACGTGTTAAACTAAAAAAGTGCCAAAGTCTTCATCTCCCGCAACCACAAAAGGTTATATTTACATAACGGAATGTGCAAGACAATATGGATCAATGAAACATTATCAAGTCTGAACCACTTATCTGTGCTCAGAGGCAAAGCGTGACTCAAACTGAAAGCCACTGTGGCTTGTCTTCCCCACAAATGCACTTCCGTAAGATGATGAAACAAGATGGTTACTTGACGAAGTGAATAATTTAAGAATTAAACTAGGACTGGGCCGTATGGTTAAACAAATAAAAACCCCAGTCACCTATTTTCATAGAAACAACCGCTCATTGTTTTCACTTTCAGTCAATAACAATTTATATTTCAGTCTGTTGCATTTTAACCAGAGTAGAACTACAGGAAAAAATAGTGTAGATATAGTAAGAGAAAGTTTTACATTTGCATTTTTATGTGACAGATATTTGAATTCAAAGTACACATTTTATCAGTTCATGCATTCCAATGCACTCAAATGACATGACTGTCTTGAAAGTGCAAACCAGGTTTCACATTTTAGATGAATGCGGCTCTATTCAAATGTGATCACAAAGTCTACAATGACATGAGCTTTCAATGACCAGCATGACAGTATACGCTACTTATTTACAATCTAAAAAGGATGGCTGTCTCGCAAGACCTCGGACAGCAGTGTGAAGTAGGACAGGCACAGAATAAAGAATGCCAGAGAAGCACTGACTGCAAAGCGCATGGTGCATCACTCTGACAGGCTGACAGTACTGCACACGGGCCGCTCATCACACCTGCACAAATCACACACAGCTGTCTGACTGCTGAGACAGCACCCTTTAACCCTTTCAGCACAGAGACAAATTTAGAACATGCCCTCACTCTCAGAGCAAAAAAATAAATCCTACACAAGGAAAGGGGGAGGGGAGGGGTTACATAAGCTTTGCAGAAAATATGAAATCTTCAGCTTCCACAGCTGCAGCCTAAAATGTTTCCATTGGCAAATTTTCCATTCAGGCATCCAAACTAAATAGTGCCAATGCAAAAATTTTATTTGTAGTTAGAAACTACCCAATAACTCACAAAAAACATTTAGTCTATCTGTGCTGGAAATCAGTTTCTATTAGCCGTACGCGGAGGATTAGTGCCTGATATGTGAGAGATGACACTTCTATAGTCGACAGCCGTATCTGCAGTCAAAAACACGGTGAAAGTTTACTCTGCTATGGAACTTTCACAGCCAAAAACGTTATTCTTGCTCAAGGAGAGAACAGTGTCTGGAACCCAGAACTGTCAGAGGCCATTACTGACACTCCCACAGTATCTCATTTCACATTCAAAAACTCTCTAACAGACAGCTACACCTAGCTAGACACATCAAACTGAATTTCTTTCACTAATAATGGACACCTGGAATTACATCTGTTACAGGCGATCCAAACACAAGTAGCCATACTGCAAATGTTCCATTGAGTCTTGTGCATGTACATTTGTTTAGTTCTTAATGTATCATTATTGCTTAGCAGACTTTAATCATTGCGTCAAAACAAGGGTTTTAAACTTACACCACCTTTTGATATTGTCTGTAGGCGCGTTTCCATTACCCTTCAAATCACGCAAATTGAAATTGCGAATTGAAAATACACCTAATGGAAATGCGTCAATTTCGCAAAAACGCCCATATATCGCAAAAAAGCTTTTACGCTCGCATGAGGTAGATTTTCAGGCAATGCTAAAAAGTAATAATTCGCAAAACTGCAATGGAAACGGCTTTTTCGAATTTACAGGTCACATGGCGTATGTAAAAAAAGTCATATGATCATTCTTCAATGTACTATAACCTCCAAGAAACACTTCATACGTGGCCGCTCTCCAGTATAAGGGGCTTTCCTACCATTAATGCTTAGACAATTTACACTGCACATGTCTGCGGTGCAGTGTGGCTCTGATACGGCCACTGAAACTGATTGTGGCCACAATGCTTGTGTTTATTCCAGTATCCAGCTGCGCCATGCACGTTTCTAAAGTGGCTCTCGGTGATGCTTCTGTAAAGATACTCCTCCTTTGAATAAATATAGCCAAAATCCGTCAATATCCCACCAAAATCCGTTGCCATGACTTATCGCGAGAGGCAAAATGTTACGTTTTAGTCGCATAACATTGGTTAATGGAAACGCCGTCATTTTGCAATACTTTATCGACATTTATAAAATATCGCCAACGTTTTGCACAAATCTGTAATCTGTTCAGTTCCAAACCTGCTTCAACACAACCTGCTTCAACACAACTGTCTGTGATTATAAAGTGTCCATAAGGATTTTAATTGGCTGGTTCAGTTGTGTTTGATCAGAGTGGAGCTGAACTTTGCAGGAAGGTAGATCTCTAGGAATTGGATTGGCCACCACTGCATTAGACACATGCAATGTTACCACATGCATCCAACGACCACCTCTGAAAGTGGGTGTGATCGTAACACAATGAATTCCCAAAACACACTGGACCCGGTTAACACTTGCATTTAGCACTGTCTAGCCTACATGTCAGGATGGCTTTAACAACAAGCGTAAATGGTGAAAGTGCACAATCAATAAGAATCAAGCAACTCTCACCTTCCAGTAGTCTGACTGTAAACTGTAGTATCTCTGGTATGCAGATAATGCTGAGAAGAAAACAAAAGAAACAGATTAAGTGACATTTTTAATGACAATAAAAAAAATATTCCTTAAGTCAGAACTCACCTTTAGGATAATCTTCCAGTAAAAGGTTGAAGTGACCTAACTGGCAAAACGCCTCTGGCTCCACTTTCCCTTCAGCTTTTAAGATGTAGACGTCATAGCAGCGAACAGCCTGTGAAGCAAACAGTGAATGTGAAACAAGTCAGAACGCCCACTTGGAGAAATCAATCAGTTTGTCTTGAACTTGGTAAATAATTTTCCAGGAAAAAACAATTGTGACTGTTACATATATTTTTCAATCAACTTTTACCATGATCATATTTACCATAAGATACTCTAAAGGTGCTGATATATGATGGAAAGAGATCTTCGTACTTCTAATGTATATAACCCATGTATCTCAGCACTCACCAAGCATTATGAAATATTTTGTACCCTAATGTCTGCATTATATAACATGTTGCCTAATTAAACAGCAGTCATACGCTAGTTCAAAAGTTTGCGGTCAAATTTTCTTGAATGAAATGAATACTTTTATTTAGCAAGGACACATTCAATTGATCAAAAGTGACAGTAAGGGCATTTTTAACATCACAAAATACTCTTAAATAAACGTTGTTGTTTAGAACTTTATATGCATCAAAAAAAACTTTATAGTTTCCACAAAAATATTGAAGAGCTCAACTGTTTTCAGCATTGATTATAACAAATGTATTTTCCATCAAAAAGGCACAGCCCTGCTGAAAATAAGAGACTTCTTTCAAAAACATAATGCAAAGCAAACCCTATACTTTTGAACTTATATGCTTTATAAAACATGTTACATTTACTTAAATACATCTAACAATCTTAACTCTAAATTAAATGCGGCAAATGAATTACTAATGCACCATTAAAGATTTATTTTAACTGCTTTGTTAGAATGCTGGAGACAAAGCAACATTAAAGTACATAAGGAGCCATCATTGTAAATATACTAATGCAGCATCCAATAACCAACCAGTAGTCTTGTTTGCTTGTCTCCTGTCAGGGCGCTTTAAAGCTTTGAAACACCTACAAGGTCACCCGAGTTGAAGGTCACAGAAAAGGTTAAATGCACTGGTTATTTTCTATGACAAAAGAAGTTCAGAACACTGAGATATTTACTCTGTATTCTTGTCTGTGTTTTGAATTATTTCACTTGGTGTGTTAAATTGATAAAACATGCAATAGGGCTGCAGATTCATGAAGTTGCAACATATACAAGTTAAACATTCAGACTGACCAATGCAAACTGTGATGTATTGAATAATCGGTGCTTGTTTACGAAGCTCAATGTGAGAACTCAGTTCATTTAAATAATAAACACAACATTGCTAAATATCTTGCACAAACATTTTCTTTTTAGACAATATCTAGAAACCAAAATAACTTGAGAATATTTTAGCCAATAATCTCAGTGCTAAACATTAATACGTGTTCTAATTAAACTTAAAATGAAGCGCTCATTTAACCGCTGCGTTCACAAGGTCTTTAAAGAGGTGCTGGCTGTATCTGGGACACTGATCGTTTTGACAGACGTGGCTAGCTTGTGGGAACAGTTGCACAGCAGCAGACAGACAGCATGCAGCGCTCACCGACAGCACAACAGCACTAGCGAAGTGATTGAGGGATGCACACGTCAATTTCTAAATGAATCGTCTCATTCTTGTCAGAACAACCACAACCTCAAAATGTCTGGCCCATGGCAGAGATGGTAATTAAACATTCCACCTGTATATCTCCTAGGAAATAAATAAAGATAACGGTAACTATATAGTATCCACACCAGTGCACAATAATGTTCTGTTTATTAGAACCCAGCACATTAAAGTGCAAAAAACTGCAATTTAAATGCTTAAGCTCCTGTTAGATTCTGTTAGGCCATCGATGTTTTTAGCATTCATCTGCTGGAAATAATTGTTCTGAACGTGATCTCAATTACATTGCCCTTGTGTTGTCATTATAGCTGTGGTGTGGACTTCTCTATTCTCAAAGTATTAAGAGCCATTCACAGCAAGGACGATAACTAACTTTTAAGGTTTAAAAATATTCGTGATTATATAAGAATAGCAAAGTCCACACCACAGCTATAACAATAAGAACACAGAGGAATGATAGCTTTGGAATCACTCTGATTGTATTTTTTTCCCCAACTGACGAACGATAAAAATACTGACAACTAATCACAATCCACCCAACTTTAAAGAGCTTGAGCACTTAAAGACGATAAACTAGAGCTAGAGCTTATAATATACAGAATATTATTGTCCATAGGTGTGGATGCAAATATAGCCGTCTAGTTATCTTTCTTGGTGTAATCAGGCCTATAGAATGATTTTTAAAACCATTACTATTATAGTTATCGTTCTTGGTATGAACAGTCACTATTTTTTAAGCTGCATCAATTATTTACGGCATTTCTTGTGGCCAATTAATATAAATGTCTATGAACAATAATTCCAACCTATTAATCAAATTATCTTACAGTATGGTTGTGTCTACAAGCTAACATCTACACTTTGGATTGAAAAAACAAACAAACTTTAAGTGCATGGACTTTTATCATCTTTATCACTTTACTGCAGTTCATGCTTCCTTCAAGGGTCCTGCAATATGACAATGAATTTTTAAAAACACAAATATGTTTCCCCTATGTTGTAAACAACAGCCATATGTATAAATAAAACAATTCAAGTGACAAAATATACAGCACTGCAACAAACGCTGCTTGCAAATGCAACCTAGCAAAGTCAACTTGCTTGTCTATATGACAAACGAAGTACTCAAATCTGCAAAATGCAATGTTAAACCACACACAAGTTCTCGTAAGCAGCTTGATTACTTTACTGAAACCCTGAATGTTGAGATAGGACTGAAAAGAGCCCAGTAGCATTCAAATGACTAGCATAATGCTAACCATCTAACATGTAGCCACTGCCGGGCAAACCACTGGGATCAGAGCTTTTAACCTTCCCAGTTCATCTTGAAACACTACAACAGCCTACAGACTGGTCTAAGGTCGGCAAATAAATTCAATAATTCACAGCTTTGGCCTAACCGAGTATTAACAGCTCGGCTAGCTAAACTTATACACTGGGAGTATTTATCATCATCAAACGACAGATGCACCTTGTGGCTCAATAAAAAGCTATTAAGACACATTTCTCTATAATTAAGACCATTAATTAAATCAAGCAACCTTCGCCTGTTTAACTGATATTCAAACGGATGCAAACGAATAAAAACAACACCCTCATTACCCTCAACTCTTCATTACAGCGCCGCACTGACAATGGGTGAACGAGGTCATAATAGGCGAAAATGGCTTCATATAAAATAGCATTTCTTCTCAAAGTCTACCTGCGGTTTACATGCGCAAGACCTCGACAAAGCAAGCACCCAAACTAATATAACACTGTTTAATAACTTTCAAAGCAGACCAATATTTAAAATAATCACTGCAGGGAGCAACTACAGCAGATCCCCATCACTGACATGCATTTTGCAGCCTATATAGTCAATTTCATTTGTATAGCACTTTTCACTCACGATACTCAAATCAGTTTAACGAAAAGTCAATATTTTCAATATCCTAATATCTCCATCGCATTTAGCAGATTAGAGCTTGGCGATCATATAGTTTCAATTTGCGACGATAAACAATCACGCAGTTTTGCTATATAGTATTTATTGCTTTAAATCAGTATACTGCGTGTAAGCGAGTGAAGTCGCCTGTAACTTTTACTGTATCGTTTAAGTATATCATTAATAGTACAATATGAATTTAATACCGCGTATATAGTGTCTTTTTGCGTTTTATAGAATGTATAAATATCGGTTTACAGCATTATAAAAGTGTAACGCACACTGCATTATTTTGTACAATGCAATGCTTGTCTGTGCACTGTGTACATATTCTGACTGTGTATTGCTGCTGATGAATAAAGTATATGTATGTCCATACAGACTCCCTTTAGTGTCATTGCATACTGTGTTGTATCAATACTACGCATTTTTTTATTTTGTGCAACACGAGTATATTTGCAGAGTGATGTTATATGATTATCAGTTATGTGTCTGTCTGTCTCCAGACCTCCATCAGTGTCATACACTCGTACCTTTAACAGCAAGGCCTTCGTTCTGGCGCCATCTTCATGAAGCCTCTGAAATCCAAATAGTGTGCTGCAAATAGAGGACAACACAGGCGGTTCCGTGTTACTTTACCTGCACCGCATTCATTTGCACCGCATTAACATGCGGGGAACGCTCATAAAAATGCACGGAGGGTCATCGGTGCAAGTAAAGGGGCTTTAACTGACCTGTCTACGCTGGCTAAGCGCTCCCTTTCTTGCGGCGTAAGCTTCGGAAAGTCCTCCTCGGTTTCACTCGCTTTTCCCGCCGCCATTTTCTTTTCCTCATCACCAGCAGCAGCAGCAGCAGCGCGAGCTACAGCGGGCACTGACACTCCGCACGATTTCATAGACAAAAAACTCCAGCGAAAATATTTACGCACCGCAAGCCGAGCACCTTTTGGCGAAGATCTAGACGCAAAAAAAAGAATAGACGGAAAATAATTTCCTCTGAACACCCCCTTTTTCACATGGTCCTCGACATAAATGAGTCGCAGGTACACCAAAAATGCACGCAGAATGAGCAATGCAGGATTCAACGGTAAATTATTATTTAGTAATATCTCAAACTTCCCCCTAGTCGCCAGCTCAAACTTGTTATAATTGTGTCACTCAAGCGAACCCACGCCGCCGCCGTCGGAACGCCTTCTCTGTGGTTTTGGCCAATGGCTGCTTTCGGTTGTGGACCACGTGATCGGCCTTGTCTTGGGATCCTTTTTTCATATAAACTTTCAAAGGGGGAGGGTAAATAACAAACCCCTCAACTTTACTCCGCATCTTCGCCTGCTGCGATTGGCTCAGCTGGATTTATTATGATTACGTAACACCAACATAAAACGCGTGATTGGTTCAAGCGTCTGTCTGTTTGAAAACGTAGGGTTTTGAGGATGTAAGGAAAACGTTGCCTGATTTCTGCAATTATTATACAGTTAGAGTTGCATGAGTCAGTATGATTTTCATTCCTCCAGATTATGTGGTTAAGTGTAATACAAGGCAGATCAGAGCAAATATCTTCTTTCTTTCGTTTCTTACACTAGTTGTTGGAGATCTCTCTAACGTTACAGCTTTCAAAATGTTAAGCAAAGAAAAAGAAAGAAAGGAATAATTCTTTATCTTCTTTTTACTCCCTGCTTAACTATTATTATTATACAGTTAGAGTTGCATGAGTCAGTATGATTTTCATTCCTCCAGATTATGTGGTTAAGTGTAATACAAGGCAGATCAGAGCAAATATCTTCTTTCTTTCGTTTCTTACACTAGTTGGAGATCTCTCTAACGTTACAGCTTTCAAAATGTTAAGCAAAGAAAAAGAAAGAAAGGAATAATTCTTTATCTTCTTTTTACTCCCTGCTTAACTATTATTATTATTATTAATGTTTGTTATACAACTAATATAGTGTTTCTTATATGAAATTAAGCCAGCTTCCGACGGTATGTGTAAAGACCTCTGATACTGTAGGTAAACAATATTTAAAACACTTGAAACAATTTGTAAACTATTTTGTGAATAACACATAGAAGCGATCGTCTGAGTCCGTGGACATACCAAAAATTCCAAAGAAGAAGAAGTGGATCGTGATCGCACGTAAATTGCGCAGGAGTTTGCGTAGAGCTGCGGCGCTGTGAACGGAGCAGCATAAAATGGCGGATCGCGGTGAAGGTAAATACATTTGCCAACCGAGCATTTGAATAAATAGTCGTGGTTGACAACGTGTTTCTTTAATCATACAGGTTATGTGCAATGAGATTCCAAGTGTTTCCAATGTAGTAGAGCAGCATAATCGATTATTATGTCGGCAGACTGTACAGATATCATGTGCTAAATCTCGGGAAATTACCTCATACTGTTTTAATCCTCATTCATGTCTTTGTAACTGCATGTCGGTGAAAAAAATCAATAGTCTTGGTTGACAACGTGTTTCTTTAATCATACAGGTTATGTGCAATGAGATTCCAAGTGTTTCCAATGTAGTAGAGCAGCATAATAATCGATTATTATGTCGGCAGACTGTACAGATATCATGTGCTAAATCTCGGGAAATTACCTCATACTGTTTTAATCCTCATTCATGTCTTTGTAACTGCATGTCGGTGAAAAAAATCCAAATATCGTCTATAATGTCTTGCTCTCAGGTTCGATATTTCAGAATAAGGTGCGAAAGTGAGGTTGGTGACCTTATTATCAGTGGTATACCTAATAAAAGGTTCATGCTATTTTTCAACTTTGTTTTTTTAATCAGATCATAAAGAGGTTAGTCTAAAATGTAAAATAATGCCAAACAGGTTGTCGACCCACAATTGGTTCTTGGGTGGATATACACGAATAATCTCAATACCAATTGTTTACCAATGCTAAACGTCCTCCTAATGAATTATATGAAGGTGTATTTTCACTTGCATCAAAGCTTTGTGATTACTTCATGTATAATAACAGTTACTTTTGTTTTCAGATGTAGATGCAGAGAGTGAAGATGAGTTGTGTGAGGTGGTTAACATCACAGATTATGCCAGGAGGCATCAATGGTGGAGTCGTGTTTTTGGGAACAGTACAGGACCCATTGCAGAAAAGTACTCTGTGGCTTCACAAATCATGATGGGTGGAGTGACAGGATGGTTAGTGTTAATATCGATTAAGAAACCTAAGCTATGTCATATGTGCTGTAGTCTTTGATTGGTCGACTTCAATTTTCTATTCTACATGTATGAAATAACTGCATTAATGCATAATAATACGTGCATTAATTGCTTAAAATCTCTGTCCTTCTAGGTGTGCTGGTTATCTTTTTCAGAGAGTTGGAAAAATTGTGGCTACTGCTGTTGGAGGGGGATTTCTTTTGCTACAAGTATGGATTATTAAAATGCTTGCATCATATGTCATAGCCATTGTTAAAGGAATAGTTTACTTAAAAATGAAAAATTGCTAAATGTTTGCTCACTCTCAGGCCATCCATGTAGCCTAGATGTGCTTGGGAGAAATGTAGCATTTCATCACTTGCTCACCAATGAATCCTATGTTGTTGGCTGGCGTCAGAATGAGAGTTCAAACAGCTGATAAAACATCACAATAATCCACAACACGACTTTTAACTTCAAACAGATCCTTCTGGCTAAAATACAAGCCCTCTATCCATAATATTGCTTTCTCATTCTGACGGCACCCATTCACTGCAGATAATCCATTGTTAAACAAGTGATGTAATGCTAAATTTCTCCAAATATGTTCCAATGATTGTTTCTCAAACTCATTGGATGGCCTGAGGGTGAGTACATTTTCAGCAGATTTGCAGTTTTGAGTGAAATCTTACTTTTCTCATTTCAGATTGCCAACCACAGTGGCTATGTGCAGGTTGACTGGGGGAAAGTGGAAAAGGATGTCAATAAAGCTAAAAAGCATTTGAAGAAAAAGGCAAACAAAGCAGCCCCTGAGCTCAATTCCTTTATAGAAGAAGTGGGTATTCTTTCATACATTCATCATAACTTCATATAACAGTCTACTAGCTATTTTGCGCTCCCACAATTCTATAAAGCATTTTGTGTTATTATTTAGTGTGTGCACAAAACACTTTAGAAAGTTGTTACTCTATCCTACATTCTGTAAGTGGTGTATTTTTCCTATACAGTCGACAGAATTTGTGAAGAGGAATATTGTTATCTCGGGTGGATTTGTTGGAGGATTTCTGCTGGGCCTGGCATCCTAAATGAAACCTGGATCTACTTTATTGCCACTGATATAAGTAGTTTGCACATTAATATTCTCCCTTATCTCTGTATCGCAGCGATACAAAACTGAAACTTGATGTATTGTCTGAAGCAGTCAGTGCAGTGGACGTTTGCTGAACTGTTGTTCTAAATATATTCCTCTAAAATGTTGTTTTTAACTGTACATAGCTTAATCATTCCGATGAAGAGAGAGATATTGTGCCAATAACTTTATTAAAAAATTGGTGGTAGTTTTGTCATTTTTTATATTATTTTACCTACCCTTAATCATAAAGACATCAACATGAAGTCTGTTACATATGTACAACTAAAGTGTTTCTTAATTGTATTTTGTTTTTGACAATACATTATTCGAGGTAGTTGTAATAATTTGCTTAATATTTACTTGTCCAGAGGCATGTATTGTTTTTTGAGTGCTTTACTTTGTGATGGATATTTTTAATATACAGAATAACCCACCAATAACATGTTTGTGGAAATACTAAACATTGTCTTTCTGGTTATTTACGGTCTATTCATGTTGTTTTGTTTTTTACAAGGAAAAAAAAACTTACCGAAGGTTTAGAAACATCTTGATATATTTTATTGCAGACAAAAGCATGGACTAATTTAAATGCTGTTTTAAAAAAAATAATAAATAAATTTTGTACAGGGTAAGTACATTTATGAGTATTTGGCCACCCAGTCAATAATCATAGATCATGCAGTTTACAGTAACATAATAACTTGGCTGAAGTGATTCGGAAGTAGGTTCTACTGTATGTTCATCAAAAATACTTTGTTAAAATAATATTTTATTAATTATTTCTGACCGTCTTATTTATTTATCAATCAATGCATGTTAAGCGTTATGAGAAACAGAGAGATATTCAAACCTGGCCAAAATACAAACTTCTTGAACTTCTGTCTTTTAAACGAAAACACATTGGAATAATGCAAACCGTTTCTGTCACGTGATCTGCCTTTCGTTGCCTACCAATGATATTTGCAAACAAGTTGTTACCTTAGAAACCGGTTCCTCTGGTGTCCTGGACGGAGAAAATCCTAAATTATCGCTTGCTACTAATAATGGCGTTACCAATGTTGCCTGCAAATTCAGTCAATAGAAATGCAAGCGATATTAAAATTATTTGTATAAATGTTTTGTCTGTGTTGAGGGAAAATAGCTTTTTTCCACATAGTGAGGTAGACAAGTGGGGGCGTGTTAGAACGAGCTGTTTTGGGGGGGGGCGTGGCAGAGTCTTAACTTTGATAAAGAATATCTCTTTGGTTTTGAGACTTTAGTCTTTGCAACTTCAGGGATCTTATCTATGCACAATCAGCTTGTAACACTCCAAAGAGAAAGGAAAACTTGAAATCGCATCATATGACCCCTTTAAAATCAAATGTATAGCATCCTAAATAATGACGATGACTGTTTAAATGCAGCTGGTCTCCTCCTATGTAGGAACCCTGATTCGGAGGCACCGCATTCCTCTCCCAGCTCCTAAAGATGATTGCTTCTAGAATGTGCACCATTTTAACATCAATCAGGAAATAGTATTCTATTCCAGAACCTTTATGATTACAGACTGTGACCCCTTCACACGCAACGTCTTGATGAAATGGGGGTCCGCCTAAACCCCCCTTCTTCCATGCCAGCAGATCCCTATACCACCCATCAACAAGAGGTAAGAAAGCACCATGTGTCTAAATAGCAATATCAATACTTTAATATTATACTGTTTCTTTCTCTCTCACAGATGGAGGAGAACATGAAGCCGCTGCGGCCATATGAAAGAATTGATACCCTGAAGCAGTTTTTGGAACATGACCGCAAAGTCCTGCGCTTCTCCTGCTACTGGGATGATACTGAGAGCATGTTTGGAGACCCCAGAGAGCTAATCTTGTATTACTTCCTGGCAGATGACACAATGGAAATTTACGAATTTGTCCTTCCAAACTCTGGTCGAGACACTGTCCCTAAATTTCTGCACAGGGGCAAGCTTCCCAAGGTTTGTAAAAAAAATAGCACTGCAAAAAAATTAATTAATTAATTAACATAATCCATAATTTATTAACACATCCTCATAATAAGAATACATGTTTTTCTTGAGCACTAAATTCAGCTTTTCCATCACATAAATAAATTAAATTTTAAAATATATTAAAATATAAAATAGTTGTTTATATTCTTATAATATTTCACAATATTACTGTTTTTAATGTATTTTCATCAAATAAATGCAGAGGTGATGATTTCAATGAGTGTGTTTGAAAAATCTGAAATTAAATGGTTATAAAAATAATAATAATAATAAATCCTTACATTTATATAGTGCTTTTCTGGGCACTCAAAGCACTTTACATAGATATAGTAGATGCATTCATAGGTTATTGTTCAATCCAGTTTGTTCCACCTTTAGACAAGATAAAGTGGTTATCAGTTCCTCTTTCCTCTTTTGCTTGGACAAATTTCTCCATCCTCCATGCCAAGCTTTTATCCAGACAGACAGGGCTGAAAGAACATTCAACTTCCCTAAAGCACTTTTCAGTTTGCTCCCTGCTTGTTTTGCAGTCCAAATTCATTATGAAGGAAGAAGGATTTGTTCAGGGGTTTTTTTCTGTTGTTATGTAGTCTTGTCACTCAATCTGTTGCCTTTCACTAAATGTCATCTAAAAAGTTTTTGCGGGAATCCCCCAATGAGAAAATAATTATGAACCCATTAGCAAATTTCACTCGCCCTTCAAGTTATGAGAAATTACAATTATTTTTGCTATTTTGATACCTGGTCGAAGGGTGATAATATGTGACTGCGACAACTTCACTAAAGAGTATTATCGTTCTAAATATGGTATTGGTGAGTTATGTCATGACTCAAGGGAAAGGAGTAGTATTTATGCTTTTATAGATGATAGTGACCTAATATTATATTTGATTAATGTCATATTTCATGATTTGTGGTAAATAGCTTTGTGTAAATTAACAATTTATTTTTTTACAGGCAAAACAGTATATAAATAGCATTTGTATTATTATTATTTATTTTTACATCATTATTTTATAGCATTTTTATAGCATAAAATAGAATAGGAGAATGGATTCTTTTTATTATTAGGTGGTTTTGAAAAATTTAGAGGGAGGGGTTTGGCACCGCTATTAATGACCACATGATGTCAGTATTGAGTTTCACCTGTGACTTTAGAACAATGTAATGAACTCATATTTATTTTGTTTGCTACAAACAAACTCTCCACAGCATGTGCAATCGTATGCTCTACTGCTTTTTGTAGTGAACTGAAAATTTACATACCCCAACCGCTCATTCTCTGCACACATTGCATCTATGTGGTCTGACAAGCTGTTCATTATTTTCAAAGTCTTCCTGTCGTAAATCCCACGTCTCTATGAGACACTAATGCTTTCTAGTGTGCTTTCATCTCTGTGAATAACTGTAAGAATAACACGCACTGAACAGCAGAAGACTAAAGGAGCAGAACTGATTGACACCTCAAGGTGACTCCGTTTTTGGACAGCAGATATGAGCAATGACCAGCCTGGCCTCTTTATCTTCAAAAGCCCGGACATGAGAAGCACAGGAGCGCCATGCCAGTGGAAACACAATACGGATGCGCGTGCATCTGTCTGCTACGGCGTTATGTCGACTGAAAAGATCATAGCATTAGTTACACATGAGCCTAATGGAGCCAGGTTGACACGTGCTCTGATGAAGCACTTGATCATTTCTCAGAGGTTAAAAGGATGCAGACTGAATTCATATGGGAAAACATAACCTGTCTGGCCTCACTTCCGGTTTTTCATGCTTATGTCTGCTTAAATGTGTGTGTGTGTGTGTGTGTGTGTGTTTGATGTTTTCTTCCTGTGTGGCTTCACAGAGGACTTCACACCTGTCTCATACAAGGCCTCACCCCCTTTTAAAACAGCCAGACAGGTTCCACCCTACACTGGATTTGGATCTGAGGAAGATTCGCTGTGCTCCTGTCAGGGTTTGCTGCTTAAACCTCCACAGAAGGACTTCAGAAAGCTTATGGGAAAAGACAGGTAACCAGCGGAGCTAATCTCCCTTAGAATGTCCTGAGTATATGCTTCCCTCAATATTACATCAAAATAATGCAACCTTAATATTACAACCATTAATATTACATCAAAACAACATGTCAGCCCCTTATGGAATTAAGATATTTTTGATGGAATCTGAGAGCTCTCTGACCCTCCATAGCCAGCACCGCAACTGAAATGTTCCCAGACATAAACGTATTAAGGACATCGGTAAAACAGTCCATGTGACATCAGTGGCTTAACTTCAATTTTCCAACGCTACGAGACGGTAAAACAGTCCATGTGACATCAGTGGCTTAACTTCAATTTTCCAAAGCTACGAGAATACTTTTTGTGCGCAAAGAAAACAAAAATGACGACTTTATTCAACAATTCGTCTCCCCCGAGTTACTATCTTCTGCCATTTTGGAGAGTATCACAATGCATACGCACGCTTTACCCTAAGTGTAAACAACGCTGATTACGCAGATTACATTCATGTGCGCGCTTTCTCCCCTAACATAAACAACGGCAATTACGTTCTTGGGTACTCTCCAAAATGGCAGAAGACATAACTCGGGGGAGAAGAATTGTTAAATAAATTGTGTTATTTTTGTTTTCTTAGTGCACAAAAAGTATTCTCATAACTTCGCAAAATTGAAGTTGAGCCACTGATGTCACATGGACTGTTTTACCGAGGTCCTTACAACGTTTCTGTCTGGGAAAATTTCAGATGCGTTGCTGTCTATGGGAGGGTCAGAGAGCTCTCAGATATCATCAAAAATATCTTAATTTGTGTTCTGAAGATGAACAAAGGTCTTACGGGTTTTGAACAACATGAGGGTGAGTAATTAATGACAGAATTTTCATTTTGGGGTGAATTAACCCTTTAAAGTAAGTTTCATACATTTCTGTATCATGTTTTCATTTGTAATTGTCTAGCATGTGACAACGCACAATACATTTTAAGATACATGAATTTACTGTGTAATTAACCAGTGGTGTTCGATGCCGTCTATGCATTCTCAGTTACACTATTCTCTGACATAGTGAACTAGGGGTCGACCGATATTTGTTTTTCAGGGCTGATACAGATTATTAGAGATCAAGTAGACCGATAACCGATATATATGTCTGGTGTAAACATGAAAATTAATGTCAAAATTAAGAATAACAAGGGCTCTCACAAAAACTTTCTTTAAATGCTTTTAAATTACTTTATCGGCAAATCGGTTTTGAAAATGACCGATACGATAACCATAATAAAGCTTAATATCAGCGCCAATAATCGGCCAGACCCCTATAGTGAGCCTCAGAGTGATGACTTTTACATTTAAGACATTTTGTGAAATCAAACTGCATTTAACAACTCATTAAGCATTCATGGTATACATACCATAAACAAGAGCTGTACAAGCACTTTTTTAAAGAGATAGTTCACCCAAAAATGGAAACTGTCATCATTTACTCACCCTCATGTTGTTCCGAATCAGTATAACTTTCTTTTATGGAACATAAAAGAAGATATTTTGAGAAATGTGTTTTTTTCCCCCATACAATAGAA